CAGAGCACTTGAATTGAAACATTTGTATCAAAAGGCTGTATAGTTAGCAGGCCAAGCAGCTGTTCTGTTTTGTTATCAAGATAACAAGTTTTGAATTTAGCCAATTAATTTGAACCGGGCATCCCGATAACAAAAACCAATTCAATTTAAATCCGATGGTTTTGACAACATAGGACCAATCCTACTGTAAGGAATTTTGATATGTCGTCAAGGATATAAAGGAAGGGGCAGTTGGGCAAAGACAAGAGAGCTCAATGCTATCTGATAGAGCTAACAGCTCTCAGCTATTAGAGAAAGCACCATCTATTCATAATGGTACCACAGCTCTCTAATTTAACATTCCTGACAGACCATTCGACAGAGAAGGTATTCCTGAAAGAACATTTGATGGCGAAGGCACAGAACATTCTGGAAGATACGTAACCTGGCTGTAATTTCAAGAGACTAAATCTATTTTTATTATTTTCGTTTTATATAAGTGGGTCTTGTATTTATTGGAACAGTTAGCAGTTAGAAGGGGTTTATTTGGTTTGTTAATAATTTGGTTAAATTTGTTTACTGTTAAAGTTAGACAAATAAATTGTTATTTATTGATTGTAAAGTGAGTGTCATGGATTTATTTTAGTTAACCACTAGAAGCTGCTGAGAAATTGAAGATTAAACCTGTTCTCACACTCCTTTTAATAGATTATGAGGTGCTCCTCTGTGGGTGTTTCAGTTTTAGTTATCAGAGGGGAGTCAGCATGCACTTTCTAATGCCTGTGTGCTAACTCTTTGTGTTTTATGTACTAGAACACCCAGATCCCTCTGTACCATACTTTTTAGAGTCACTCATCATTTAGTTAATAGCCTGACTTTTGATTCTATTACCAAAATGCATGACTTCACACTTTCCTACATTAAATTCCAACTGTCTAGATATTGCCCACAGATGCAATCAATCTATACCCCCTTTCAGATCCCTTATGTTCTTATCAAATGTATTTTGTATTATCAGAAAATTTTGGCTACATTACATCCTGGCCCCTCTGCTAAGTCATTAATATAGATAGTAAATAATTGAGGTCCTAGGACTGATCCTGGTGGCATTCCAAAAGTTATGTCTATCCAAACTGAAAAGGATCCATTAATCCTACCTCTCTGTCCTCTATGATTTGACTATTTCTTAATCCATGCTAATACATTAATCCCTATACTGTGAGCTCCTATCTTGTGCAATAATTTTTTATGTGACACCTTATCGAATGCTTTTCTGAAAATTCGAATTAAGTTCCCCTTTTTGAACTTGGCTTGTCATATCCGCAAAGAACCCTACCAAATTTGTCGTACAAGATTTCCCTTTTGCAAAACCACATTGACTCTGTTTTATTGCATTAAGGTTTTCTAAATAGCTCCTATTTCTTCCTAAATTAGGAATTCCTAATTTAGGAGTCGAGTATTTTCTCCTTGACCGATGTTAATCCGATTATAGTTTCCTGATATCTGTCTCCCTCCCTTGTTGAACAGGGGCATCACATGTAATCTAATGAATTTTGGAATATTTCAACCCAATGCCTCCACTATCTCTGCAATCACTTCCTAGAAAACCATTGGATGCAGCCCATCAGATCCTAGCAACCTGTCTGCCTTTCGTCCCATTAGTTTGTCAAACACATTGTTCTCATAATAGAGAACATAATAAGATCTTTCCTCCCAATAGCACTTTGCTTATTTGTTTTCTTTGGGATTGTAGGGGTGACCTGCACCTGGCCATGTAAGGTGGCTTATACATGACCACACAAAGCTGCCTGTGCCAGTTTACAGGATGGCAGAAAGAAGCTAAGCAAAACTAAGCAGCCTCCTCACACAGTGAAATACAATGGCACCTTTGAACAGAACTGCTAAAAGGTCAGTAAATGCTGTAAGTTCCTATCCGAGACAGTTCAGATAAGAGGATGCCTTAAGACAGAAAAATGACCACATCCAGCTTTATTAATGAAAGGGTAACTGTCCCAGCAAATGAATAATGTCAGGTGCTAGATTAGGTCCTCAAGACACTGCAAGGATAACAGCTAAAGTTATTTTGTAGTAAATAGTTGCTCTTGGAAGCTACCAGCAATATTAAATAGATTCTAGCTAAAAATGCTCTAATCATAGAAGTTGGTTTCAAAACATAACCAGGATACAGTACAAGCCTTAAAAAGAACTTTTGAGTTTAGATGTAAAGATTAACTAGCCTTTGAAGACACCTTCTCTTATGTCCTGAGCAAGACAGATTGATCACAGCCCATAAATTACAAAATGCTGACAGTAGAAGTAGTTGTATAACATTACACTCATATTTAACTTTATAACAGAAGTTAACCTTATAGCTATTCGTTAAAACTAACCGACTTTTTATTGTTACATTATGTAATTGGGACTGTTGGAAAATAAAACGAGTAACTGAATGTTTTAAAAGACAGCACTAAAATGCAATGAGTTATAGAACTTGAGTTGTCCTTAAACAATCCTAACAAAGACCTGAAGGAGTATAATCATTAAACTTTTGGAATGTGAATGAATAGGATGCATGGGGAGATACCATGGCCTAGAGATTACAATGTCTAGCTAATACCATAAGATCATGGGAACTTGGGGCTGTCCATGGAAGTGCCCATCACTGATTAGTGTTCCACAGGATTGGGTGTTTGAATTAAGGGGAAGGATGATGACTATGTTGTATTTGATTACTGTAACACAAAATGTATAAAAATGCTGTATTTCTTTGTAAAAGCAGAGGGTGTATCATTGATCTGTCTTCCGAAGCCAGATGCGGGGGAAGATCCTTTGGCCCTCTCTCTGCATAAACCGATTTCTGTTTGAATAAACATCTTCCACTTCCCTGAATCCTGTCTGCCTCCTGAGTCTTTGCCCCGGGTTGGGAAAAATGCTCTTACAGGGATGTTTATAGTGTCCTCCATCATGATGACCAATGCAAAATACTGGTTTAAGTTATCTACCATTTCCCTCTTCCCCATTTTCAACTTCCTAGTTGCATCCTCTGAATGTGCTACACATACTTTGGCTGCTGGCTTTTATATATCGGTAGGAGCTCTTGATGTTTGTTTTTATATTTCTTTCCCATTTACTTTTCATAGCAACTTTCTCCACCTTAACTAGCTTTCTATTCATCTGCTGCTGGTTCCTTTAAAGAATCCCAGCCCTCTGACCTATCATTAATGTTTGTTGGTTTGGATACCACCTTTTTAGATTGGATGCTTACCTTAACCATCTTTTTACACATAGGCAATTCATCTTTCTCTTCAATTTCTTCTTTTTGACTAGAATAAATTTATATATAATATCTGCTTAAATAAAATATCTGCTTAAACATCAGTCATTGCTCATCCACTGACTCCCCCTTAGTCTATTTCCAAAGGCCACTTTAGACAATTATTTTTTCATATAGCTGTGATTTTCTTTATGTACATTGAGGACTTTGGTTTTAGACCTGAGCTGTCTCCCTCAAAATGAATTTAAAATTCTACCATGGCGTGACTGCTAACCCCAGAGGATCATATTAATCTTATGTCATTGAACATTATGATCTTAAAATAACCTGATCCTAGGTAGGTTCTGCAAAGTACTGTTGTGAAACAAAGACAGACAGCCAAAGCAAATCAGCTTCTCTATCTTGTATTCACAAGACAGTAAAATTAAACCATTCAAGTGACACTCAAAATTGATCCCAATGGCTTCTAACCAGACTTTGGGAATGGCTGACACCAGATACCAAGTGTACAGCATAAATAAAAGAACTAACAATTTATTATTACTACAGTGGTGTTAATAAAGCAAAGTTAAACAAAATAATCCAATTAATTTCTATGATTTAAAATGAAAGATGTAACTGGCCAGTTCATTAAAGCAGCTTCCATGATGCACAGTATCACAGGCACATGGGATTGTATTCTTGATTTCTGAAGATCCAGGCCAATGCAAATAGCTTCCAGTAGAGTCAGAAGAATATTCATTTAATTCTTATAATTGAGATTATATTCTCCAAACAATATGTTGATAATGGGAGAATAACCAGGGAGCAATCTTCTACAATCCTATTTCTTTGGCATCCACAATCATTCTGATAAACCAACACAGTTCAAATAAGTTCAAACTTTGGGTTCTCTTTCTGTTCTTCTTCAGCATTCTTTTTTGTTACACTGGTTGGCACCAGACTCCCTGGGACATCTCCTGTTAATATCAAGCATCCGTCAAAACTTGAGCATAATACATTCCCGGAATCAAAGCATCTACAGTGTTCCTTGAACGAGAATCACCTTTCAATTAACTTACACACCAGGTCGTATAAACAAATATCAGTTTACTTGTTCTCCCTTTTCTAAAATAAACAAGCTGCTACTCACTGTTTAAAGGTCACCCTCAACGCTCAGCTCATGGTTTCAACCAAATTGATAAACAAAAATAAGGAAAACCAGCAAGGGTTCCAACAATACTACTTAAAGAAACAATCCATGATGA